ATACGAATGTAAAAACATGGAAAAAATATAAAATAACATACATGAAATATAAGATGCAAGAAATGCGATGCATGATGTATGCAATTGGAGGCATTGATCCAGAAAAGTGTTCATTATTATAAATAACCCTTGTTCAGACAAAAATGTCTTATCTTTTAAGAGACATAAAAACAGATTAAAGGTACATTCGGACTAAATCCTCTAGACCCCGAACAGCTTCCAATAGGTTGACAAGTCTTCTGCCTTCATCTGTCACTGGTTGAATGCCTTGTCGAACCACACCAGCTTCCCTTGCTAGGCCGTGAAGATGACGGGCTGCTTTTTGCACTTGATCCAGGAAATCTCAGATGGTTGCGTCTCGGGCCCTCACCCTTCGTTGTGCTTGTTCCCAACGGAAACGCCATTGTAATCCTCCGTCGAAAGGCACTATCTGAAGCTCGTTTGCTTGCCTCTTGAACCCATCTACAATAGCTTCTAACTCAGCTATTGTCTTTCCATCTTTCTCATGTTGTCTTTCTAAGTCAGCTACCCGAACTCTCAAGCGCTGGTTCTGATATTGACTATCTGCCAAGCGTCTTTGGGCAGTCTTCATCTGTTCCTTCCAAGCTTTCTCATCAGGCCCCTCAAACTTCTTTTTCAGGCTATGAGCTTCGTCTTTCCAGTATTCAGAGGTTACCTTCAACTTGGAGTTATCCTTGACCTTATCTTGATACCCCTTTCTCAAGTCTTCAAGCTCAAAACGGACTCTTTTTTGTTCTTTTTCCAATTTTTCTGCCCGATCTTTCTGAGAGTCAGCATCAAGCTTCCACTGATAACGTTCAGCTTCCAGTTCCTTTATCCTTTGCTTCAGCTCATTATTCACGGCTTCAAACTCGGTCTTGGCTATCTCGAGTTCAGAAGGGACATGCCTGAGATGTTCTTCCATGGTTCGGGTGTCATCACAGTTTGGCACAGGGATGTTGTCATTCTTTCTCAATCTTCGCCACTCCACATAATCCGGAGTGAGCATGCTTCTGGCAGCTACAACATCCATCCGGAATACTTTTCTCCAAGAATCGGCTGCTTCTTTGATCATCTTCTTATAGCTATCGCCGTGATACTCAAACTCTGACCTAGCCAACCCGCACGTTGCTGGGACAAACTGACGTGCTCCATATTGTCTAAGTGCTAATAGCGGAGCATACCCGACTGCTCCCCAAAGTCCAAGTAAGGTCACAGTGTCGGAGTCACCACATCGAAAAAGAACATCACTAAGGAATAACCAAGGGGCTCTCCAGACAATATCTCGGTCTTGAAGATGCGTAAAGACCTTCATCCATTTTTCTTTCGAAGCGCCTTCATGTCATTTTAAGGTAATAAATTCACCTAGAGGTGAATAGGTGGTGCTGAAACGGCGGTAGGCAACCCCGTCAGTCTTCCAGAAGTGGCTGTGAATCCAGACTTGAAGGAGCTGAATGCACCCGGTGAATCTTCCTCCGCCAGTTCTTCGGCAATGATTGAGAGATCAAAAGGTCTCAGCCAAGATGACAGGTACTGGATTGACTCTTCTCGAGAGTTGTTCGAATAGCTCCACTACGGTGGCATCGATGTATCCCAAGGTCTTTGGGAATAAAATTAGACCATACAGACCTAATGCAAACAGGTCTATTGTCTTTCACTCATCGGGATGGTGCTTCATTAGTTGTTTGATATGAAGCCAAGCGATTCCTTCTCCACTACCCTTACATCGAGCTCGGTCAGTTACCCATTTTTCATCAACTCCGGCAACCTTAGCTAATGCATTTTGAAAGGTTGACTTTTAATGTGCTTAAGGTAGGCCCGCTCGAGTTTGATGTTTTCACAATGCAGCAGTGTAGTGTATTCTTCTATGGTGGGCACCATGTCTTCCCGGTTAAAGGTGAAGCAACTGTATCCCGGGTTCCAAAATTGAACCAAGGCTCTAATTAAGGGCTCATCAATCTTAACATGAAGCAGAAGTGCAACATCACCGTACCGTTGGCTGAACTTCTGTTTCACCTCATTCTTCCAACTGTCCCAGATGTCCCGGAGCTCTTGTATGTCATTCTGCTTTAGGCTGATTGAGGCGTAGCTAACCAGCTCTGACACATAGCTGTCTTGAAGACTGTCTCCCTTTTCCTTCTGAGTCTTCTCGGACCATAGTCGTACCTTAGGGTTTTTAATCTCTTGTATTACAACACCTTATCCATTAATTCAGATTATTTTGTACGTAATGAACGTCTTTTAGGGATCAATGGCCTTTTGTTATGATGCAAATGCTAAAAACAAACACAAAGGCAAACGGTTAGTAAAATAAAAATAAATGGAAATAAATAAAAATAACAAGAAATAAATGGTAATAAAAACGTAAGGAAAAACAAATGGTTAGGAAAGAATTGTCCTAGGTTTTGGAATGTGGTTTTGGGGTAGGCTCTATTTCTTCGAAGTCTCCTGGTTTAGGTTCTAAAAACGGTACCCGAGTTCTCCTTGCTGGTGCCCCCTTGGGCTTACCAGACCCTTAGTCCTAAACCCATCACAGGCTTGTGTGGACTAAGTTAAACTCGAGGGGACACATTCCCTTATGTCTATGCGGAGAATAAATTCACACGAAGACATAAGGTATATGAATCCCGAAGGCTACTTGCTAGGCATATGCGGTGAATAAATTCACACGAATGCGTCGCTTTCACCCCCACTTAAAACGGGTTTGGAGCTCGGGTTTAGAGCCTTAGATGAAAAAAGACTTTAAGGGCTGAAATCATTGAGAAAACGATTAGTACAACTATTTACGCGAAAAAATATAATCAAAAGTAAGCAATAAGGATCGAAATGTTACCTTAAAATTTAAACTTACCCTTTTCGTTGAAAAGACAACTGGAAATTACCTTAGCCTGACTCACTTACCTGTGTCCCCAGCGGAGTCGCCAAGCTGTCGCAACCGTGTTTCGGTTGGGCCCCGGAATTGGGCTTCGACTTGAAAAATGTGGATTGGAGTCGCCACCGATCGTTTATTTTATGAAAAATGGGTTGATCGGATACCTTATTTCTTACCTGATCTGCGTCTTATCAAGGATATGTCGGATTCGGGAGTCGATTACAGTCAAGGAAGGGTTAGCACCCTTGAACTGCCCTTTCGGTACTATATAATTTCCAGTTGTCTTAATTAAGAAAAATTGTAACTTTAATTTAAAAGGTAAAATAGCGATCCCTGAACTTACCTCTGATTGGTTGAAACTCTTATTAAAAAGGTCAAAAATGTTAGATAAAAATAATAATAGTAAATGAGCATTAAATAAATCAAGAGGGAAAAAAACATAAATAAAATATAAAAAAAAAGTACATGCAGACAAAAGAAAGGCCTAGGGGATAATAAAATATAAATAGATATATATAAAAATATAATATTAGTAAGATAATAGTAGGAAATTAAAATAAAGTTAATAAACGTATAGAACAAAATATAATAATAAAAAGCATAGTAAATAAAAAAATAATACATTTACATATCTATGTATAAATAATGACATGTAATATATAATAAAATATGATATAAATAATAATAACAAAGGTAAAGATAATAGGAAAATCGATAAAATGAAAATATACATATACATAAGATTAATAAATAAAAATAATTAAGTAATAGTAAAAAATATATATAATGGGAAAAGATAACTAAATATGTACGTAGACAATAATAATAAAGAGGAAACTAAATAAGATATATATACACACGTTAGTGACAATAAATAAAAATAAACAATATGTTTATATATAAAAAAAATAATAAGATACTAAAAAGTATAATAAATACAAAAAACGGAAAGGATAAAAAGGAAACGAAATAATAAATAATAAGCGGTATAGTTAAATACACATAACAAGGACTAAAATGTAAACAGAAAGAAAATTGTGGGCCAATTTAAAGAGAGTTTGAGATTTACAGTCAAATGTGGGGGATTGAATTGAAAGGAAAATCGAATTACATGACCAAATTTAGAGAGAATCAGGGCTTAAATTAGGATTTAGGGCCAAATAAATGCATTAAATCTGCGAGGGACCAAAAATGAGATTGCTCCATTTGCGTTTTAAAAAACATGCGGGTCTGAGGGAACACGCGGGTCGGGTCACGGTCCAAGCGGGTCGAATGGGCTTAATATACAAGCCAAAATTTTTTCTAATTCTTTCATTTTCCATCTCAAAAACCGACTCATCTCTTCTCCTCAGAGCAAATGCTCTCTTCTGTTCTTCATTATGAAGAACCGGCCACCGCCTGGGTTCATGAAAACCCAGAACACGGCCAACGGCGCCGGCCGCCATTCATCTGCGGCAATACTCGAAAAAAAATTGATTTTTAAAGAGCTCTTCGTACCCTCAGTTTACAAAATGTTTGTTTTTGCAAAAGAAAACCTCTGGGGAACGTAGATCTGAAGTCAAAAACTTCGAAATCTCCCTCTTGGTCATTGGCTCAAGACGTTTTTTTCGGAGTTACTCTTGAATCAAAACACAAAAAGGCACGAAAATAACATGCAAAGGTACGATTTTTACCTTTTTTCGAAATATAAGTGCTTCGGAATGGATATGATTTGCTTGTAATTTCTGCTTTTTATTGCCTATCAACTCTGTAAAACCAAATTACATTAGGGATTACATGCTATTTATAATATTCAAGCCACCCTATTTTTGGGAGTTTGATTCCTAGTTAAAAACTGATATTTGCTATTGGTTTGCTGTTGCACCGAAATAATTGGTTGTGGGTTGTTATTGAAGGATCTTCGTGCCCTCATTGCGCCGAAAGAGTCGGGATTGGTGGCGTGCAGCGTGGGGAACCTGGGTTACTTGGAGATGCGGTGCTGGTGAGAGAGAAACTGCTAGGGTTTGGCTTGGAACGGGCCAACTTGTTTGGGCTACTGTTGGGCCATTATATTTGATTTTGAGGCTGAGTGTCTTCAAGTAGTTATGACATACATTAAAATAGAAAAAACTGAGGTTAAAAATCGAACCTCATGATCGCAATCGGCGAGCTTTTGTGGAAGAATACGAAAAGGAACTGTGTCAAGAAGAGGAGCTAAAGCCCATGAAGGACAATATAGATCTTGATTAACGAAAGAAGAAAACTTTCGGCCGAGATTTCAAAGAGATTGTTGGGAGTTTCTGGTCAGCCGCTTCAGTTTCCAGCAAGAAATTTCAAAAATGGAAGCAGAAACAAAATCTTAAAAAGAGTAGAATTGGATGTGGGTTGGCGAGATTACCAGTCGAGAAGTCCTTAGGAACACAATAAAGAGAAGCCCAATCAAAAATTGCTAATTACGGGTTCGGAAGACGGTCGTTTGATGATTCGAGGTATTCTTTTGATGAACTCATTGTTGTGAATTCCATCAATCAGGACAAAACCCTCCCCGGAGGATCGGTCAGACGAGGGATAAAATGAAGGCTAATAAGTTCAGTTCTTGTAGGATCGACTCAGACGAGGGATTAAGTTACAGAGTGAAGAAGGAAAAAGAGTGAGGAGGGAATGAAGAAGAAGAGTCTGAGACATGTGGGGGTAGAGGGGTACTTTAGGTCTATCATTTCTTTTATTTTTAATTAATTTTTATTTATTTAAATAAAGAAAATAAAAATTAAATAATAATGTTATATGTTTTGATTAGTATGTGAATTTTATTTTTAACGGTACTAATATTTTTGTGATAAATAAAATAACGATTTATAATTAAAGATATAAAATATTTTAAAAAAATATTCCCCGATGCTAGAACTATGGATCGACGAGAGTACTTTACCCTATAAAATATTCCCCGATGCTAAAATTATGGATCGACGAGAGTACTTTACCCTATAAAATATTCCCCGATGCTAAAATCGCCTCTTTACTTTTTCTGAAGTAAATTTACGCCATCTCTCCTTCAATCTTCTTCTTAAACCTCTCAAAGACTGCCTCAAACAAGCAAGTCAACAAGTCAATGGCGTTTTCTGAGTTTAGGCCTCTGGAAGAGAACTCACTCATCGAATACATTAAAGCGACACCGTCTCTGTCATCCAAGATCGGCGATAACTACGATGGTTTAAAGATCAAGGAAGTTGGGGATGGCAATCTTAATTTCGTCTACATCGTCGTTGCCCCTTCTGGTTCTTTTGTAATCAAGCAGGTTTCACTCTTTCCTTTTCTCCTTTTATACCTTTAAATGGTTGAAATATGAAATGGGGAGTTTTCTAGTTTTTATGTAAAAAGTGTTAGAATACAGGCACTTCCGTACATACGATGTATTGGTGAATCTTGGCCGATGACTAGGGAACGGGCATATTTCGAAGCGACGGCGTTAAAAGCACATGGTGGACTATGCCCTCAACATGTTCCTGAAGTTTATCACTTTGACCGTACCATGTCTTTGATTGGAATGCGATATTTGGAGCCTCCCCATATAATCTTGAGAAAAGGGTTGATTGCTGGGATTGAGTATCCACTGTTGGCAGAGCATATGTCAGATTACATGGCCAAGACTCTTTACTACACTTCTCTCCTATTTCGGTCAACTACAGAGCACAAACGTGAAGGTAACGGATTCCTACGCATTTTCTTTTTCAGTGTTCTTATGTTTTGAGTTCGTTTTCGGTGCAGTTTGAATGCTGTTTTGGCAAGTACATTTGGGATTTGGAAGTTAGGGTTGACGTGAATTTAGATTCTGTTTTCATTATGGCATATTTGGTTGCAGCATTGATTTAGAACAAAGTTATGTTATATCTACGCCCCTGTTTAAAGAATCATATTTGATGAAACATACCGAACTGTTGGGAGTTCAGGAAGTGGTTATAATTGTATTAAAGCTGTGTAAGCTTGCTGGTAGTGCTATTATAACCTGTTATATCTGACAAATCGTTGCTCCAATGATGTCTATACACCGAGGAAATGTGAGGGGGTATGTTTAACTCTGGCATTCTATTAATATATTCCTAATTATCATATCTTCCTGAACAGGGTTTCATCAACCCTTAGTGCAATTTTAGCAGCTGCAAGAATATATTTTATTAAAAACTTATAACCTTCTATCATTGGACGGAGCCATTTCTGCTGAACAAGAAAAAAGCATAATTATCAGCTTGTCATTTGGCCTCCACTAGTCCATTTGGAACAAGTATATATGTATATAGCTCAAAGAAAATATTATTGTCTAATTTGATGAAATTTAGAAGCTTGCAGATATTATGCTAATGAATCGGCATTTGATGTTGTGCAGTGGCTGAGTTTTGTGGGAATGTGGAACTATGCAGGCTCACTGAGCAGGTTGTTTTTTCTGACCCATATAAAATATCTGAATATAACCTTTGGACTTCACCTTATCTTGATCGTGATGCTGAGGCTGTGCGGGGGGACAATGTATTGAAAATTGAAGTGGCTGAACTGAAATCTAAGTATGGTTGCTTTTCTTTTTAATGCTACTGAGTGCAATTATATGGTTTATTGTTCAAGTTATTAAACATCCCTCTATATAGGTTCTGTGAAAGAGCTCAGGCTCTTATTCATGGAGATCTTCACACCGGTTCTGTGATGGCTACCTGTGATTCTACTCAAGTCATAGATCCAGAGTTTGCATTTTATGGACCAATGGGATTTGATATTGGTGCTTTTATTGGAAACTTGATTCTAGCTTTCTTTGCGCAAGATGGACATGCTGATCAAGGGAATGACAGAAAAGTATGTCCTTTGTTGCTCTCGTATTGTTTAGTGAGAACTGTCCTGTATATTTGTCGTTTTAATTTTTCGTCTTTAGACATAGTTCCATTTTAGTGTGTACTGCTTTAATATATGCTGGAAGCTAAGCTTTAATATTTGTCGTAAATCTTCTTGTTTAGCTACTTATGTCAGTCATATATTCAATGACAACGCTATCATATCTTGCAACTTTATTTTTAAAATATTCTCTCTGGCATCACCATTTGTAGCTCAAAATAAGGTTCTCTTTGTTTCATTGTCTGTAGGACATGTTGCTTTTGCAAGTTATTAGGAATGTCGCAGAAATGTTTTATAGTACCAAATATAATAGGACCTACTATTGAGCTTAGGAAATTAGATATTGGTCAGATATAAGAAGATGATAAAATGAAGTGCACGTTTGTGTCTTCAAATCAATTGGTATTCTCTGTCGGTTTCCTTCAAGATTTCCTAATAAATTGATTGCTGATGTGTAGAATGAAAAATGTGGATCCCAAGGCACACATATCTTTGTACATGAAACTTTCGAGGGAGTTGCTTATATATTTGTCTGTGTACATACATATGCATGCATCACACATATAGCTTTTCAGGCTACAGAGCATCAATTATATATATTGAAGACTTCCAATGTTCATTTTATTTAAAAATATATACTGAAGTAATATATAGAAATGATGAACTTCATATTGGTATGCAGATATACAAAGAGTGGTTATTGAAGACAATTGAGGATACATGGAATCTTTTCCACCAAAAGTTCACTGCGCTTTGGGACGAAAACAAGAATGGGTTTGGGGAGGCTTATCTTCCAGCAATTTATAACAACCCTGAGCTTCAGAAGCTTGTACAAGAAAAATATATGAAGGAATTGTTCCACGATACACTCGGCTTTGGTGCTGCTAAGATGATAAGGTGAGGTCCTCTACTTTTTCTTCAGTACTTGCCCTCATAATTGCCAGTGTTTGTCTATGGCAGTCTGTTGGCTTGCATTTGTCTTGGAATAAACCTCCTTCTAGAATTTTTCCTATATATGCTATGGGCCTTGTGTTTAGATGCATTTATGTTCTAATGACTTCCAGGAGAATTGTTGGTGTTGCTCATGTTGAGGATTTTGAATCAATTAAAGAAGCAGGCATAAGAGCAGATTGTGAGCGACAGGCTCTCGAGTTGGCCAAGACACTCCTGAAGAAAAGGCGAGAATTTGTGTCTATTAGTGAAGTTACTGCAGCCATGAAGCAAGTCTAATCATGATTGAAGAAACTGCTGGGCTTAGATTGATGGAAGGCGTTACAGGATCCAGACATTACCTACCATTTGTAATTTAATAAAGGTTTCATGGTCCTTAAACAAAGAGGCCTTTGATTGTATGTGTTTATGACGGAAGTTTTCTGTCTATGTATCATTACTGGCGGTGTTGCAAAATATGGTCATGTATCGACTGTCTTGGTTCTTCAGAGTGTTCCACTTGACTTTGGGCTATGTAATGTTTGAAAATTGAGTGAGGTTAAGTCAATTAATCTTCCAGATCATCATTTCAATCATGCTTACCGGTGTGTTTTAAGAAAATACAGGTAATGCTTGCAGCTACGTATAAAGGAATGTCCGATGTGACTTGGAGAACCAAAATAGACTTGTGAATCAGATTCTACAGGTCCTAGGCAATATGCAGGTGCCTTTTTTATTTCTTATATAGATTCATTGTCAGATCCAATGCAATTTTATTTTCATGTTCTAATCATTTTTTTAATGTTTCTTCACTTAAGCTGTGGCTAAGGATTTCGTTGTTAAAAAGTGATGATGATTCATCAGATGTTGATAATCTGGTGAGTTAAAGTCTCCACTCTTGGTGCGATATCTTACCATTGATGACCATTGAGATGCTTTTGGAAAATTTGTTAAGACTTGAGTGTTTGCCTTGATTTTAGAATCGAAGTCACAGTTTGAAGAGTTCCTTGAATTGGTTTATGGAATATGGATTGTTGATTCTTCATCCTTGTTAGATAAAATAACAAAATGATTTTGGTATGGCAATTACTAATAACTCCAACTTATCAAGTCATAATTGAACGCCAAAAGCTACAATCTTAAAGAGAAAAAAATATTATGTCTCATCAGCTAATGGCCAGGACAAGTGGCGAATAAACGAGGGGAAATAACGTAGAACGATTTGGCGAAATGAATGGAACAAAGTATACAAAAGAACCCATGTTTAATTGGAGTAGCAGAACAAATGCACTGCTCAAAATGGAGATAGCATTTATCTCAATGTTCACTAAAAAACCGCTTCCTACAACAGGTATGTCTTCACGCATTTCAGCTGTCTATTGAAGCTGTAAACTTTTCCAGCTGATATCTTTGCTGTTATCGTAGTTCCTCTATAATGTATTCGTTTGACAGAATTTTGTTCCATCGACCAAAGCCCGAATTCCTCGAGATCTCCTCCTTGCCAGCCGATGCTGACTGTCACCCCACCACGTGCTTTCAACCCTTTCACACAACCGTTCACCCATTTATCCCGAGGAAGAGCGGGGAGTAAGTAAAGATCTTTCATGGTGCTTTGAACAAACATTTCTGCAACTGCTGCTGAAAATCTGGTGTATAGTTGCATATTAGATACTAGCACAGTACTAAACTTCTGTTATTTCCATAACACTAACAACAAAAGAAAGCTGCTTACCCGAAATTGGCATCGATTTGGAAAGGAGGATGTGCAGTGAACAAGTTGCTGTAGAGTCCTCCCTCAAAGTCAGCTTCATGAGTTGGATCCACCAGACTAATTAAATGCTTGACCATGCGATAAGCATGCTCGCTGTTGTGAAGACGAGCCCACAAAGCAGTTTTCCATGCTGTTGACCACCCTGGACCATTCTCCCCTGTTTCAGACTAATGTAAGTAGACTGCCTAAAATATATTCATAGTAAGTTGAAGACAATACAAATCTTCATTTTGTCACTGGCCGCAGTCATCAAGGTTCTAATTATACCAATGCAACAGTCAGCATAGATTAGTGGTTCTAGAATCCATCAGTCCGTAGTTATTGAAGTTCTGAAGATGGCGTGTTTAAAATGAACGTAATATAAGCTTCAGGTAATGATTTTTTCATAAAAAAAACTACTAATTCAAGTATACTGAAAAAATGTCAACGTTTTGCGACTCATTTCTTCTTTGTAAAGATATGCATGTTCACAATGAAGTCATTCTCACACATATACCTCTTTTAAAGAGGGTGTAATCAGCAGCTTTACAAAGGTCTGGAGTCTTTTCAACAGTAATCGTGTGCCCGGGAAACAGGCCAAAAAGCTGTGATACATGTCGGTGATGCACATCTGGGTCCTGAAAATCCAATGCCTGCTCGAAAAGCAAGGAATATTTTCATCTACCTTGTAGAACACAGAAAAAAGAACTTCGACAAAGATCGGGAGATGTTGACATACCCATTCCATAATGGAACCATCTCTAGCAATTCTTGTTGGTGGCAAATTCATCTGAGCTTCACGGACTTTTCGAATTAGAAGATCGTCTTTTCTTCCCAAGATCTGCCTTTTAAGAAACTAATTAGCATATAAAGATACCAATTGGGGCGAATAAAAATTCTGAGTTATTATGGGAGCCCATTTTACAGAAAGTTTACTCGAGATTAGCAGGCTGGAAAGCAGCTTCACTTTCGATGGCTGGAAGATTAGTGTTGGTAAAATCGGTGTTGTCATCCTTACCTATTTTTTACCTCTCTATTTTTAAGATTCCGGGGAAGGTAAATCAGAAACTAAATTCAGCAATGACCAGATTTCTTTGGGGTGAAGTTTCAGACAAGAAAAAAGTTCATTGGGTGAATTTGAATATGGTATGTCAACCATTTGAAGAAGGTGGCTTAGGAGTTTTGGATTTGAGTTTGGCTAATAGAGTTTTGCTTGGGAAATGGGTTTGGAAATATGCAAATGAAAAAGACTCTCAATGGAAAAAATTAATTTGTTGTTTGCATAATATCAGTACGTTATCTTTGTCAATAGGCAAAGCTGTTTCTCCTCAAGATTCTTGGCTATGGAGAGGGATTCTGAGTAACTATGAGAAAAAGGACGAGATTGGAGAGTGTTTGAGGTCCAACTCGAAGATACAAGTGGGGAACGGTAGGTCAATTGAGTTTTGGAATGATATTTGGGTCAATGGATCTTCTCTAAATATACAATTTCCTAGGATTTTTGCCCTTTCTACTAATAAAAGGGGTAAAGTGGCTGAATTTGGCGCCTTTGAAAATAATGGATGGGTTTGGAATATTACACTAAGGAGAAATCTTTGTGATTGGGAGTTTGAGCAGTGGTGTGCGTTAATGAGTTTGATTCATAATATTGTCTTGAATGAATCTATGGAGGATTTTCTAGCTTGGTCGGGGAAAGGCGAAGGTGTGTATTTGGCAAAATCGGGTAGACTCACTATTTCAAGTAGAATGGGAACTCCTTTTCAGTGGAAGAAATGGGTGTGGTCTGGAATGGCTCCTCCTAGAGTAGAAACATTTCTTTGGCAGATTACTCATCAAAAATTGGCGGTTAGAGTGGAATTGAATAAAAGAGGGAGTTCGATAGAAGATGTTCTGTGTCCTTTATGTCATAAATATGAGGAAACAATCCATTATTTGTTTATTTCGTGCTCGGTTGCAGAGGAATTGTGGTACAGATTTCTAAGACTATGGGATATCTCTTCAGTTATGCCTCAAGAACCTTCTTCCCTTCTTTGTTCCTGGTCTTATCTAAGGGAGCAGTCTACTATTTGGAAGTTTATTCCAGGAGTCGTTCTATGGTCTTTATGGAAAGCTAGGAACTCAGTGGTGTTTGAGAATTGAAAACTATACACTTCTTCTTTGTTCTTCATTTCCAGGGTTAGATTAGCTAAATGGTTTTTAGCGAAATTCCCTAATGCTAATATTCAGGTTGATATACTTGTAGGAGATCCAACGTTGGCAGATACATTTCACTCTATTTCCTATAAATCGAAGAAGGCTATCTACTGGTCTCCACCTCCTATAGATTTCTTTAAATTCAATGTTGATGGAGCAATGAGAGGTGATGGGCTGCAGGGTGGAATTGGTGGAGTCTTGAAAGATTCGAATTGCCATATTTTAAACTCGTTTTTCTATAGCGGTGGGTCTTGGTCCTCCTATGTTAGCTGAGCTGAAGGCTATTAAACAAGGAATTGATCTATTCCTTTCGTCTGAATGGGCTTCGAAAGGAAGATTAATCCTAGAGTCTGGTTGTAAATTAGCAGTTGATTGGATTATGTCACTAATTTTTGCCCCTATGTTTCTCAGTACTTTGGTTGGGGAAATTGGGACCTTAGTTTCTGCCAGGGGTATTATTGTTAGATGGATTCCTAGGAGTTGCAATTCGGAGACAGATAAGTTAGCTAAGGAGGGAATTGGTTGATGATTATAGCTTTATGGTAGGTTTGGTTTGTATTTTATTTTGGGAAGTTATGATGTAAGATGTAAGATTATGTAATTTTGGTTTATTAATAAGATGAGGTACTCTTTTCCTCCTTCCGATGTTGCCTCTTCCACAAGAGCCAACTAAGAAGGAGGTTTTTAATGAGACCTCCTATTCCTATAAAAAAAAAACAGAAAGCATGGCCTATTCTAAATAGCATAAAATAAAACACTTCACCTCAGCAGCAGAAACAATTTCAGAGAACACTTCTCTTATGATTGCAATGTCCATGGTCGATGAGTAGCTTACGCTAGCCGGCTTGCCGTCTGGAGCAATGAACATATGCTCAGGAGAAGTTGATGGGTTGGTTTCAAGATATCCTTCGGGTCCCTTGCTCATCCAGTCCAGAAGAAATGATGTACATCCTTCTAACAAAGGATATGCCCTTTGAAGAAAATCCTAATTATGCAAGAAAGACAAGAAATGGTTTTAGAAGACAAAAGAAAAATATATATATATACATGAGCTATTAGGCAGCACTGCAATGAACTATTTTTGTATGATGCCTTAAAAGAAGAGTTTGCAGCGAGGTCGATAACAAGAAACTCGAGTGTAAAACAAACAATTTGAAGGCAAAAAAAATTAAAAATAAAGGATCTTACTTTGTCCATTGTATAGGTGAAATGCTCCCATAAATGAGTGCAGAGCCATGCTCCCCCCATTGGCCATAGAGCCCATACAGCCTCACCTCGGTCTGGTGATGTTTTTGCCCATATGTCAGTCACTTGATGAGCAACCCAACCTCTTGCTTCGTAATTCACCTGCAACATTCAACGACCAAATAAAGAAGTGTACGCTTGGATGATACAGGAAGGCATAAGATGCATAAAACCCAAAAATAAAAGGAAAATCATTCATGGACAACAAAAAGATAGTAGAGATGGCAAGCTTAATAGTTATTTCGGTAGCTTTGGGGGCCAATATTTGATGATTTCAAGATGAGAAAAC